ACAGGTTATGTGTTTACACATAAAGGAACGGCTATATCATTGAGATCTGTGAAGCAATCCTTGACAGCTACATTCTCAAATCATTCTGAAATTATTGCAATCCATGAAGTAGGTTGAGAATGTGTGTGGTTGAGAAACATGATCTATCATATCCAAGCATCATGGGGGTTAACTTCAACAAAGGATAGTCCAACAATTTTGTATGAAAACAATGCAGATTGTATTATACAACTCAAAGGAGGTTATATCAAAGGTGACAGGACGAAACATATTTCTCCAAAATTATTTCATACACATGAATTTCAAAAGAATGACAACATTTATATCCAACAAATTCGCTCAAGTGATAATGTGGTCGATTTATTCACAAAAGATTGACAACGTCTACATTTAAGAAATTAGTTCATGAGATTGGTATGCGTCAATTCAAAAATTTTCAGTGATCAACGTCAGCGGGAGTAGCAATACTCTTTTTCCTTCATTTAGGTTTTATCCCACTGGATTTTTCTAACAAGATTTTAATAAGGCAACATTTATTTTTAATACTCCAAAATAATTGAACTCTTTTTCTTTCGTTTGATTTTTTTTATCCCATTGAGTTTTTATCAAACAAGGTTTTAACAGGGCAAATATCTTGTAACGTGTCATTTAAGGAGGACTGTTGTAAAAGGTAAGTTCATTAGGATTTAGAGGTGAATAACAATTATACCCTACAGGCCTAGAAATAATTACTGTTATATCCCTGATTCTGCCCTATAAATACAAGATTTTGGTTTTTAACAAAATACACACAAGCCTATTGATTTCTCTTTGTTCTCCTCTTTTCTGCACTTATATAACAAAATTATACTTTTAGATAATTTTAAAAAGGCATAACACGCGTATCATGATTATCGAAATTACTCTTTCCTTATATGTTTATGGTATTTTTGCAGACCTCTTGAATCAAGTTTTATTTGATGAATGAATGCAGATATGACATTTAGCATAACCGATGATTAATATTAGCTTATATCGCAAAAATGCTACTACCATATTGTCCATTTTAGCTATGTTACATTTTTATACATTCAAAAATGTAACATAGACACCAAGAACACCTCGAGTAATATTATTGCATAGCATTGTAAACTCAAATAAAAGTTAATTGATGAGTTGGTAGTCAAACCATCAATTGTTTTCGACGAACGTTGAGATTTTTTTAAAATTCTTGACATCTAGTGATCTCGACTATTTATCGAGATTACTAAGTTATATTCTAGATAAAGAACTTGATCCTAATTTAGAAAAGTAGCGTTCACACTTTTTATCATTTGGGCACACATAATGGCTGTAGTAAAGAAATTAAGATTACGATAATTTAAGTTTTTCGTTCGAGCCCATAAATTATTTACGATTAAAAAATATTCAAATTATATATGTGAAATGACCACATATCACGTATACGTAACCATCAAATTCGCCAATAGGGAAATGATTATCATTAGTATAAATCGAGTAAGACCACAAATATAACAATTCAATTTATTGTATTATAATTATGAGAAATTAGCATGGAACAATTATGTTTTAAAACTTAATGGGTCATTGTTATGTATAGTACATTCAACTATTTTTATGCTACTTTTGTCTCATTATTTACTGTCATTTAGACTGCTGACTTCTAGATAAGGAATAAATATTAATGTGGAAGATGGATTTGGTGAAATAGTTACTGACACGGGAAAAAAAATTAAAGATTTTTCACATCATAGATTCACTATAAAAGTCGTAGCACACCATTCGTTTGTCGGCACATCACAGAAGAATCACAGTAAAAAAAGTCGCACGCTCGAGCAGGCAAAGTGAATAATGCTATTTATTATAATTAGTATTATAATATCAATTTAGGATACAAACTGTGATTAAATGAAACGTACAATTAAATAAATAACATAATTTCACATTTAATTGAACCTATAATATAATGTAATACGTCACATAAATTGGTGGTCTTGAACCTAGTGTTAGATGCCATTATTCAGATAGAATTGGACTAAAAAATTGTTTACCGAATTAATATGTAAAAGAATTTTCACAAAAAAAATATATTTTAAAGTACATTTCCATATAAAAATATCATTAAAACACAAATGGACTGAGGCTATCCTCGGTATAACCCCGCCGTTACTTAGGGATAGAGTTATGGTTGAACTATATGTCAAATAAAATTTCCAGGATTAAACTAAATGTATCGAATGGGGATTACCGAATGGTGTCCCCCCTCTCGCAGTGCACGCGATCCCTTATGAATATAAAAATTTCCAAATGTGGTTCCCATGCTCTATTATAAATGGTAGATAAATGATTATGTAAAAAAATTATGTTCATTTAACGTTGTCCAAATTTCCAACTGAAGTTGGCCATCCTTAAATTCACCCCTGAGCACACCATTGTTTTGTCTTGTACTCACACAAGATTCAATACTAATTAATTTTTGTATTATTTAGCCCAGTTTGATTTTTATTTTTCAAAATTATTTTTAATCTTACGTTCTTTTTTAAAATAAATTTTCAAGGAAATTCATAATTTTATCAGCTTTTTTTAACTTTTTCACTCAATATATTTTAATAAAATCCCTACGAAGAGAGGTTTAAATGAGATCTCTATATTTGAGTGGTTCGAAATACAACTTTTGATATTAAGCACGTGTTTGAGCCTCAATTTTGTGTCTAATAATACATCTTGTGACAGTATATTGATGGAGAATGTGTGGTTAAAAAATAAAAAAATATTGATTTATGTGTAATATTATTTTATTGAAGAATGTATGGTTGAAATAATGATAGAGTAAAATGAATTATGAAAGCGTAATGATATTTATCCCCACTGGAGTTGCAATCCCAATTTAGATGATGCTAACGTGACATTAATTGATAATTCATTTAATTTTATTTTTTATTTAACCTATCGTTTAGTGTTACGTAAACTAAGAAAGCAAACTCAGTAGAGCTACATAGCATTACTCATTATGAGTGTGTCTGATAGACATTTTTATGTAAAAATACATTTTAGAATAGTAAATTGATGTGAAATATGTGGTTGAAAAATAAGGAAATATTTTTTATTTATGTGTAATATTATTTTAATAAAGAATGTGCGGTTGAAAAGAAAGAGAAAAATGCATTTTAAAAAAAATGACTACCAAACGGGCTTTATGAATAGGAATCAAACAAGGGCTGAGAGATATATCAAATATCAATATATATACATATATATACGGAAATGATCTTCTAAACATCTGTATTTAGCTTATATTAAGTATCAATGACATGGCACACAAATTAATTGACTAATCATTAAATTCATAGGACATATATATATATTATTGATAAAGATTTTACGACCATAAAAAGATAATGAGGAAAAAATTTGTGTTCTCATTGAATTTTGAAAATGATTATTCCAAGAACTGTGTAATTGTGACAACTAATAACGAACCTAAAAAATAGACACGTTAGAAATTAGATATTTTTTAGGGAAAATTGCAGTTGAGGCTCCAAACTTTTGAAACATTAGCAGGCTTTCTCCAAACATTTCATTTGTGGCAGCCGTCACTCCTAACCTTTACAAACATTGGAGATGAGGCCCCTTTGGACGATTTTCGTTAAAAATTCTGTTAGTTGACCCGAAATTTGGATTTTGACCATCTTTAATCAATTATAAAGAGACAATATGGTAACTTTCTATTTACCACATTCAAAAATTTAAAAAACCTAAATCAAAAACCCCAAAAAAAAAAGGGAAAAGAAAAGAAAAATGGATCTTCTTCCCTACCCACCCACTCATCCATCCCACCCCAACCCAACCCAACCCAAACCAAACCAGCAATAATAAATTCATCACTGTTGACATTTCTGAACAAGAACTAAAAGAAAAATGAAGGGGCGACCACTGGTTTTGAAATTGGAATGTCTGAAGGAAGTGTTCCGCATCCCTGTGGTATTTATAATCATAAATTGGTTTATAGAAGCAGCAGTCGAACTTTGCTTTATAAGCCTGCAATGCTTTCAATGGTGGCCATAACAGCCGTATGTGTGTGTAGCCCTTCTTTTCAAAAGCAGGTGGGAGATGTTGGAATATGGTTCCAGCTGAGAGCAACATGAAAATAAGTGACATTCCTTCTTCATTTTGCAATTGATCTTCAGGGGTTTGTTGGGTTTTGGGATGGTTCTTCAGAAGCCATTTTTACAGAGAAAGAATGGAGATTGCATAAGGTGTTTGAGGCCGTCGTCATCACATTTGGATTTGGGATTTCCTTGGTGTAGAGGAGCAAGAGAGAGAGAGACCGATATTGTTAGGGGTTGGGGTTGGGGTTGGGGGTGGGCGTGGGGTGGAGGAGAAGAAGATTTTTTCCTTTTTATTTTGTTTTCTTCTTTTGTTTTATTTTTTATTTTTATTTTTTTGTTGTTATTTTTTATTTAAGTTTTTTGAATGTGGTAAATAGAAAGTTACCATATTGTCCTTTTATAATTGATTAAAGATGGTCAAAGTTCAAATTTTCGATCAACTAATGAAATTTTTGACGAAAATCGTTCAAAGGGGTCTCATCTGTAACGTTTGTAAAGGTTAGGGACGACGACTATTACAAATGAAAGATTTGAAAAAAGTCTGCTAATGTTTCAAAAATTTGGAGCTTCAGCTGCAATTTTTCCTATTTTTTATGCTCTCATAGAAATTCAATTTGAATGGAAATTATAGAGATTAAAAACGTGAATTTACTGAGGCAGTGATTATTTTAAGTTGAGTAGGACCCCCGCCGCCGTGCGTCACCAAAAATGGTTTGACTCACGTGCCAAAGCTAGAAATCAGTTGGACCCCACATTAGAGTGATCCATACGAATATTTTCTAATAATGTATAGTATTATTACCAACTCTCTATATTTTAATCACTGTCTTGTCATATTAATTTGATTTCTATTTTTCGTTTTGCTGAAATTTCCCCTTACTTCAGGTATATATAGACTCCCATATTCGAAAAATATTACCAAACCTTCAAGAATCAAAGCAAGTGCAATTGTTCGACGCAGTGAGCGAACCACTTCAAACCATTTCTTCTTTATTCTACTTTCGATTTCCTAATTCATATTATTATGAACTCTAGTAATAGTAGCACCCAACTCCAACATCAATATTCACCCATTTCATCTTCTAATTCTCCCCAAAAATTCTCTTGGGAATGGGATAATAAACTTGTTTTAGAACACAATTCACTCCCATTCAATGTCAATGACTCCCAAGAAATGCTACTATTTGGCATCCTAGCAGAAATTGCAAGTGATGACTCCAATTCCAATTCTTCGATAAGTTGCAAAGAAGAAGAGGTTACATCAAGCACAAAAGTCGAAAAGGAAAGAGAAAAATCCTATATCGGTGTCAGAAAGCGGCCCTGGGGGAAATACGCAGCCGAAATTAGGGATTCGACTAGAAAAGGAGTACGTGTTTGGCTTGGAACATTCGATAGCCCGGAGGCTGCTGCATTAGCTTATGACGAAGCTGCATTTGCAACCCGTGGTCCATCTGCTGTGCTCAATTTTCCGGTGGAGAGAGTGATCGAGTCGCTTCAAGATATGAAGAATGGTTGTGATCAAGGAGAGTGCTCTCCAGTGATTGCACTGAAGAAGAGGCATTCAATGAGGAAAAGATCATTTATTAAGAAAAGGAAGGCAAAAGAGGCAGAGGTAGAAAATATTGTTGTGGTAGAGGACTTGGGAGCTGAATATTTGGAGAAACTTTTGAGTTTTGGTGAATGATCTTCCAATTTTCCTTTTACTTATTTCTTTTTTTTCTAAGCCAGTTGTATCAATTGTGATTGTTGGATGAACTTAACATATATTTTGTTTTTATGTCAACTATTTATGATTGGAAATGTCGATGCATCATGGTGTGCTATGTCCCTTATGTGTCTATTGTGGTGGACTTTCTTCTAAAATTGTGGGTATTGAATTTGGTGGTGGGTAGTGCAAATCTGATGGAGTCATGATTTTAATTTAGTTGGGGGCAAGATTTTACATTAAAAAAAAAAAAATAATCCCTTCAACCAATGCAAATAAGGAAAGTACTACATGTACATAATTGTTTACATAATAGTATCTATAATTACAGGTGACACTGGTCCAACCTTTAATTCAAATCTCACACTTTCACATCAACAATCAGATGATTGTCACATCACATTATGGACAAGATTATGTGCTATAATTATGTACAAATAAACTTTTCCTACAAATAAAGGGGTGGATCCAAGATTAGACTAAAATTTCACATATTTTCTTGAGAAAATTACCTAGAACCCTAGAATTAAAAATTAGTTTTCATAAATAAGGTGTTTAAGTTTATATTTTAGATTTCAGGTGGTAAATAGAATTATCAATTGTAATTAAAAAATTAATTAAACCTTAATCCAGATAATAATCCCCACCCTACCACACCCCGATTTTATTCCAAACCCAGTCCCCATGCTCTCTCTCTCTCTACCACATTTGTCATCTTCTCTCTCTCCAATCTCTACCATTAATCTGCTCATCTTCATCTAATCCCCTAGGGCGGAGTAGAACTGCTAGAGAAAGCAGATGCTTACAGCAGTTCGTCGCTATGTGAGAGCAGAATCGTCGCGCACAGCGACGATAAGCGTTGCTTGCGACACCTTTGCATGCAAAAAATGCTTGGGGTGGTCCAGTTTCTGAAAATGAGTGCGGTGGTAATGATATGGTGGACTGGTGGTGGTTCGACAACAGAACTAGGGAGTGACTGATTGAGATAGTGGGGTGCTTGAAGGAATGGTGGTTCGATGGTGGGTGCTTGGGATTGTAGATCTGGGGATCGGCTGGTTGGGATGGTGGTTCGGAAGTGGTCCAACGGTGCTTGAAGAAATTGCAAAAGAATACACACCTCGTGTTTGTCACTTTTAGATTTGGGATGGTTAAAATACTTTTTTTTTTCGTTTTTTGAATTGGCTCTTGAAATTTTGTGGTTAAGATTTGTACTCGATGGCGATCTTTAAGGTTTGACGGTGGTTGGTAGTGGTTCTGAAGATGGTATGATGCCGGTGGTGGTGGTGGTTGGTGGATTGTGAAATTGGTCTGATGTGTATGCAAATTTGTTTGTGGCGATCCTATGTAACCAAGTACGTGTTTATTGTGACTGTTTGTGATCAATTTGTTGTTGATTGTGATCGGTTGTGACTTGGCATAGTCAAAGATTGACCTGGTCACAAACATTTACACTGAATACAAGTTTGATTGTAGTGAGTTACATTAAAGATAAATTTAGCCACAGTTAATCACAGATAACATAGGTCAGTGAATTTGTTACATACTGTTACAAATTAAACGGTCACATACAATCACAACGAAAATAAATTTGATCACAAATAGTCACATGAAACACAGGTATAGTTCCGAACAATAAATTTGGTCACAAATAAATTTTTGGAGACTTTTCTACAATAAAGTATTGTTTTCAATTTTTGAAGATTTTTCTATCATTGGAGCCGGAGCAATCGTTGGAGTGACCCCAAAGTAGTCGTCGGTGAGGTGATCTGAGCAATTGTTGGAATGATCATTGGAGAGATCGTCAGAGTAGTCACCGGAGTGGTCGTCGAAGCCGATGGTCACATCTGTTGGGGAAAAGGGTAGGGAAAGGATAGAGAGTAGAGAGAGAAAGAGAAGGGCTTTAATTTTAAATTTGGTGTGATTAATTATATTATATTATAATTAAAATTTTAATAAATTGATTTATCACCTGATTTTTTAAAAAGTTTTATGGAGTTTGTTAGTTTTGAAATGTGTTTTTTATATGTAGGATTTATGTATTGTCCCCTATTTTCTTTTACATTTAAAAACTTAATGGGTTGGGAACTAGATTGGGCTACACAATATTATTAGGAGCAAATTTTGTATCAAAATATCAAGTGCATTGCAACATTTCATCGAACGTGTGGCGAGATTCTACATTTTACTACATGAGAGGAACAAACTAGAGTGGCATGGTCGAATGGATGAAGTGAAATGTTAAGGGTTATCTTAGAGTAAAGGGAGTCTATGCAAGTAATGGTAAAAACATAATATAACAACAAAAAGATCGTGCATTAATAATTCTTTCCACAATTACTAATAGCTTCAATTTCTCAACATGGAAAACTTCAAAAGCTAAAAACAAGAGGGACTAAAGTTTTTATTAGATTATAAGTAGTACGTCATATAGAATGTGTGGATAATAAATGGATAAAAGTGTTGGGAATTTACTTATACATGCACAGCGGAATTTAAAATAATTTTCGATTCCCACCAAGAATCGCCTTTGTGTTTAGATAGAAATTGTGATAAGATTGTACATTTTCCAGATCTGCAATTCTTTGCTTTTCTTTTCGTTCCACAACCTTGATTCGTCATCACAGCTGTCCAATTGTCCAGCCTCCAACGGTGATCCACACAGAGAATATGATTGCAACCTCTAGGGTTTTTTTCTTGTGCCAGCAAGAATAATGAAAAACCTTAATGGACCTCAAACCCTAGTTATGTATTTATATAAACCCAAACAGGCTAGGCCCGGTCCGGTCCAATAATTAATTAATCCAATTAATTAAACCCGGTCCGTGAATTAATTAATCCAATTAATTAATTCGAAAATATAAATAACAAATCCAATTAATTAATTTATCCAACGATTGTTAAATTAACCAATTGGCAATTTGCAATCTTCCAATTCTCTTTTGTGTGAGACCCATTAGGTTCCCGACCACGATACCTAACGACGTGAAATATTATTTTGATCTAATCAAAATTGATAAATTAAAACACCCTTTTAATTTATCGTCAATTCACATTCGCCGTCCCTGATTGACATCTAGCAATGTGTCAGGGCAATACATGTGACGGGAAATGTCACGTGGTATGACAAAACCAAATTCGTTCGTTTACCGTGAAACTATAATCCCTTCGTCAATATGATCCGATCAATTACGAGATATGGAGTTGTGTCAATCTCGATCATCGATCATATCTTTCACTCCACTATTAAATCAATATAAGTCGAAAACTCCTTTTCGACTTATGAGTACACCTTGGCCAAGGATTTCATCATCGACTTAATTGAATGAAACGCAGATCATAATCTCCTACCATCTAAGAGTGACGAATCCTTTATTGATCAATCACAACCTTCATACGGTTCTTGACGTACCCGAACGATATCGTATTAGCGGCCCTTTTCAGAGCAACATCCAACACCGTCAAAGTATGACTGTCCTCATATAAGGTACTATGACGACCTCAAGTCAAAGGACCAATTCCACTACCGAACGTTAGAGATTAATCACTGACACTCAGATAGTTATCCATGTGGAATCTCTCGACGGGTCTCCAATGTTTTGTTCTATAACAAAAACATCCACGTATTCATTTAAGTGTCACCACACTTTAGCTTGTGAGATCAGCTACTTACTTCACAAGTAAGAAATGCCACACGTGATGGTCTATCCGTAATAACGATATCCGTATCTCGTTATTACTTACGACCACGGATGATTTAAGATTCAATCAGATGTAATTTGTATCTCACAATCACAACTCCTTGTGATTAACAAATTACAAATATTTGAATCCACGAACTCTATTATTTATTTAATTGTCTATTAATTAAATAATAGATCTGTCATTTAATTGCATTAATTATTTATAAAAGTATTTATGTCCAAAGTTGATTGGACCTAGGGTATAATACTTACAAAAAGTTATGAATTCTATAAAATGTTTAGATACAAAGGGACTTTGATCAGTTTATAAACATAAACTCTGCCAAATATGTAATTAAAAATAAAAAATGTTAAAAGAAGATCGTCTACAATTTTCATGCAAGTCCTCAATTTCTGCGCATTTTTATACTTGTATTCCAAACGTTTTTCTCGTTTTAAATTCAACTGTATACTATTAGCATATCTTGTTTCTGATGAAGGCTAAAAAATCAATTAAGACAAAATAAAAGACTTATTTGCTCATCGTAATTAAAATAAGCAATATAAACAATAAATACAAATTTTGACAAAACATTTTACACGCGCTTGGACAGAAACGATCATAAAAAAACAAATGTGCTATTTAAAGATGATAATATGACGAAAAAAATTAAAGACATGAGTGTAAAAATGAACAAAAATTGATAACCTTCATTATAATTATAATGTGGTATAATAGACAAAAACCAAGGTGTGAATACAGTAACCATCATTTGATGGAAAAGGACACATTTACTAAAATTTCACAAGTTCAAATCTTTTCGTTGGGCATGGTAGAGAGATATACTATAATATATTAAAGATCCTTAACTTTTATTTATTATCACATTTATATCACTAATTTTTATCGTATTCTTCTTTTTAACTTTTCATTGAGTACTGCAGATTTTGTCTTTAATCAATATTTTAGTCGAAAAATGTTAACATACGTGAGACAAATATTTACATTAATTTAGTATGTGTTTGTTTTTTGGCTTATTTAAAAATATGAGGGCCAATCTTAAAAAAAATTTTAAACAAAAATCGTAATCAGTGACAAATTGTTCTTGATAAGTGATTAAGATTGAAGATACCATAAAAGATTAACTATTAGAACTAATGTACAATAGCAGTTATTAATAAATATTACAAAAAGTATAAACAAATGGGGATGTAGCTCAAATGGTAGAGCGCTCGCTTTGCATGCGAGAGGCACGGGGTTCGATCCCCCGCATCTCCACTTTATCTTTTCTTCTGCTTTCTTTGTGCTACATGTATTTTTTTCCCTCAAAATAAAAATTTATCTACCTATTTATCCTAATTATTTTTAGTTTTAAAACCTTTCCATAATTGCTTTAT